CTGACCGGGACGGTGCCCGGCTCCGGCCGCGGCCGCCCTTCTGAGCCTGCGGCCCCGAGCAGTTACTGGGGCCGGTTCTCCAGAAGGATAAAAGTTGTTCTTTAAAGGTGAAGGAGTTTCGGAATGAAACTTTCTGAAAGTTTTCGGAAAGGAAGCGGCGGAGGAGCGGTTTGGACGGCGAGGGGCACAGGAGGTGGCTCGGGAGCCCTCCGAGGTGCGGGTCGGGAAGGGCAGGCACAGTGAAGGATTGATTGAAAGATTCGCGCTTTACTTGCCGCAATTTCAGTCTTTAACGCCTTTTTTCCCCTTTCTTCTGATGTTTTGTGGGGTTGTTCTTTTGTTGGTTGTTTTCTTTTTTTGTTTTGGTTTGGTTTTTTTGTGGGTTTGTTTGTTTGTTTGTTTTTTGTTTGTGGATGTTTTGTGTGTTGGGGGTGGTTTTTTGTTTGTGTGGGTTTTTTTGTGGGTTTTTTTGGTTGGTTGGTTGGCTTTTTTACTGATGATTAGACCTGTAACCTTAGGGACTTTTTTTTTGGTGGCCCATATAGCTGCACGGTGTAGCCTAGTTTCTCATGGTGTGAAACCTTTTATCTACCCCGTGTGTGCGTGATGGTGCATTAAGGGCTTTGACGGGTCCCAAAGCGGTGACACACAGAAGGCTGGAGTTGAAAACTCTGCTTGCCTGCAGGTGTGACACGTCTTTCACTGCTTTATAAACACTTCTTTAACTCGGTATTTTCTGCTTGCTATGCTGGCCCTTGATTTCTGCTTGGTTTTAGGAATATCTGTCTGAATTTCTTATTGCTTAAATATCTGGCTACACTCTATCTGGCAAATTCTTCATTGGGCTTGTTGCTGATGGATCCTTGTTTCCTGATTTTTACGCATCAGAACTTGATCTCTCTTTGTGCTTGGTAACTGGAGAGTCGCATCAGGACTGATTTTAGCATAATGTGTTCAGAATTTAAAGGCAGGCTACTGGTTGTCTGTGTAAGCATTATGTGCACTGGGAATTTGTTTTAAATACTTACTTTTTCTTCCTGTCCTTTGTTTATTTGTTCATCAGCCTTCCGTTCTTAATCGGTGTAACACAGAAAATGCTTTGCAGTCAATTTTCTCTTCTGTTTTTTGAATGTTGTGAAAATCTTTAAAGGGTTGAGATTTCCTTATTTCTTGACAGAAGATGCTCCCCAGATGCATCAGCTGGTTTTGCAGGCATTGGCAGAAAACCTCAGCAGTGGGTGGAGTGTGTTATAGAGATTTTGTGCAAAATAATGTTTCTGCTTGGATATAATACCAGCTTCAGTCAGGTCTGCAATTCAGTTATGTTGTGGCAATATCAACTGAGGGAACAGGGCAATGATGAAAGAGAAAATGAAATAAAATTTAGCTATTTAGTGATGTAAGTGTGACTTTGCAAAATGTAAAACTGCTTAAAAGTTTCTGCCCAAACTGTGGGCAATTGAGATAAAATAGCTTAGAGAATAGGGAAGGCTTTTTTTTAGCACATAGAGAGGGGTGGGGAACCTGAAACTGCTTGAAATGATAAAACTTTATGTAATTACTCTATAATGGTAAGAATAGGAGGTAAAACTAAATGTCTATTTAGATAAGACAGACTGCAAAAGAGTGTGTGTAAAGATAATTTAAAACTTGCTACTTTCAAACTGTATAAAAAACTACAGTATTTCTTGGCTCAGCGGAGTGCACTGGGGGGAACACCTGCCCCTTTGCATTCCCCGGCCGTAATAAAAGTGCTTTTCAGATTGTCCGAAGGTTTCTTTGAATCAATGAGACCTGTCAAATCTCGTGTCTAACCCCAAATTTTTTTCTCACATGACAAACCTACTGTTAATTTTTGCACCCTGAGGACACGATAACACTAGAAGATGGCCTGTCATTGAGTCACTCGTCTCTCCTTGTCTTCCGTCAGGTGAAGCAGATTTCCTCTTCCAAAATGACTTTCCGATTTCTGGTTTTGTGTCTGGCATGTTCTGGGCTTGGAAAGGCAAAGGGTAAGTTGAATTTCCTGAAGTCTGCTTGAAAATTGTTGGGGAAGTGGTTTCAGATTCCTGAGGCTTCAACAGTCAGAGTAAGAGAGAAAAGTAGCTGAAATCCAGATTGCTGATGTTGTTAGATACATGCTGAGGCAGAGATATGGTGCTGGCAGGTGTGATGTAAAACCTCCCAGAGCAGCATTTAGGGATGGCAGCATCCCATAAATATGATGACACTGGGCACTACTGTTCACCTGAGTTCAGTTTCCCATCGTGGAGCCTTCCCTAAGGAACAAATCTCTGTTTTTCTTTCTCTCCGTCTCAAATGTGCTGTGAACTCTAAAACTACATGGTCCAGAAACTCTTCTTAAGCCATGTTGACTCCTCTGAGAATGGCTTGGTGTGTACTTCCCTGATGCACTCAGTCTTCCTCTAGCTCTTAGGAAACAAAAATTGGGTATGTGATGAATGGGAAGGCAGGAGCTGATTTAGTGAAACTGGAGAAGGAAGTCTGCAGGGATGGGTACAGAAGTAGGGTAAGTCTTTTTGCATTTAAACAGTTTAGAAGAAAGCCAGAGCCTCAGGCAATGTAAACTGTCAGTGATTTCTAGGAGTACTGAAGAGAAGGACTCTTTGGTGGAGGAATGTAATTGGAGGAGTTGTTGTGTCTGTGGGTAATCCAGGCCTTAGAATCAGCATTAGGCTTCTGAATATGTGTGATATCTGCCCCTTTCCGTGTTTTATGTCACTGCAGTGGTTCCACAGGCTGAAGAAATTCAAGTGAGGGTGGGTGACAATGCCCCTCTGAGCTGTGCCCTGACAGAACCCATGGATGTTGTGCAAGTGACGTGGCAAAAGGGCTCTGAAAAATCACTTAAGAATATAGCTACATACAGTAAACTGAAAGGATTGAGGATTCACAAGTCCTATCAAGACCGAATGAATTTCACAAGTCTGGAACTCAACGAGACAAGCATCACTTTTTGGGGCGCTACAATGGATGATTCAGGATGTTACCTCTGTCTCTTCAATACTTTTCCCTCAGGCTCTGTCTCTGGACGTACCTGCCTGAGTGTCTTTGGTGAGGTTCCCTGCAGGGATATGTGTCTGGTGGAATAAGAGGTGTTTTCTCACCCACAGTATTTCCTGGAGCAGATTCAGGAACTGCAGGGGTAGGAGCATCCCTTGGTGGAACAGAATGTAGAAACAGAGCATTACTGCTGTGAGCAAGACTCTGGGGGTCATATTCAAGACTGTTGTGGTGGGATTGGCTCTTGGTTGGTATTCCTTGATTAGCAGCTAAAAAGCAAGGAGTGGGATCTTTGTAAGCCCTTGGGCAGTCCCAGATGGAGCTTGGGCAAACCAACATTGCCTGTTACTGTTTCCTCTCAGTGCCAGCAACAACTCTGGTGCTGTGAGCTGTGCCATACTGGTAGGGAATTATCAGATGGGACCAAGAAATGGTTTTACTGAACCAGATTATTTTAATACCTGGGTTTTGGATTAAGTGAAATGTTTGGGGCATATAACTTGAGTATAAGGGAAGGAGTTTTGAGTCCTGGAGGGAACCTGACCTGGTGAACATTTCTTTGGGCTCAGTGTGAATGCAGTAAGCTTTGCTCTGGTTCGTGATGGTCAGACTGCTGTTACTGCCTGCGAGCAGGAGCTCCTTGTGGTGATGGATTGTCTCATTTGTATGTTGGAAGGTCTCAATGCATCTGTCCACTACAACATTTCTGAAGGTCACTTGGTAGCCGTCTGTAGAGCTGTTGGCTTCCCAGAGCCCACCATCACCTGGAACGACTTGTTCGATTCTGCTCCTACACAGGAGGTGGTCAGTCACGCCAGTGGGGTGGTGTCCATCACCAGCACACTGCACATCTCCAACCCCCAGAGGATCCGGGCCCAGGACTTGATCTGCAGAGTGAACAACACAGAGGAAACAAGGGAATTGCCCGTGAGAATTAACGGAGGTGGGTGAACAGTGAAAGCACCTTGTCAGTGTTCTCTTGGCCTCCATGTTTGGGTAGGAATCTGCTGGGAAGAGGAGGGGGCGAGATGTGTGTATGTCAAGCAAGAAGAAATAAAATCCTATTTGCATTTGTTGCTGTCTTTGAGACAGTGACATACTGGAGTCCTATCAAAGAGGAGGGGAAAAAAGCCAAACCATGGGTTTTAGAGGCACCATGTGTTTTGCAGCAAGTCAAACTACAATTTTCATGCATGCCTTCATAATTTAACAGCCTAAAAATAAATATAAATATATCACCTGATATCTATCCAGATGAAGTAAAAACTCCATGGGTCGCTTAATGGACCCAGAAGTGGGAGTTCTGAAATTTGTAACAAACTGTCTCTGAACCAAAAGCTTGGCTTCAACTTACCACATGCTTTGTTGTGTTTTAACCTGTGCATTTTTAATTTAAAGAGTTCAGAAGAGAGCCAGAGCTTCAGCCAGTGTAAATCAACATAACTTTATTGATTTCTGGGAGAACACAGCAGAAGGACTTCGCACTAGAGGTGCAGGAAAGGAGGAATAGTCATGGTGAGGAAAGAATAGTATTTCCAGGCATACAGGGAGGCAGCCAGTTGAAGATGCTTGTGTTGGGTTTATGCAGACATCTTAAATACATGAAACATCTGAATACCTTGTAGTATTTTTATTTCTTCTTCCAGCATTCTGTTCTGCTGGAAAGACTTTCACCCCAGTTCTGCAGGTGAGAAAGAGAAACATTAAAAGCTGAATTACCATTTTCAGTTCGTACAGAAGCATTGACTTGGGATATTTAAAATTCATATGTCTCCAAATCCAGAACCTTAAAGGGGAGACCACTGATAAATTATGAAGACAGGAAAAGCAGCATGTAAATGTGGGTTAATTCTGAAATCAGATGCTCAAGAAGTGATTGTTACAGGAATAATAGTACAGAGAGAGATCTGACTTAATGTCTTCACTCTAAAACTTAACCTTCAAATCCGTTCTTAATTCTGAATTATACTAATTGAAAAAGCATGCTAAATGTTTCTCCTGTCTGAATATCAATATTCTTTTGTTTTGGCCTTTTGAAAAGAAAATATGTATCTCAAAGCAGGAAACTAAGACTGTTTTTTCTTACTAGGAGAATGAAAAATCAGCTGACAGCTTGTAATTTTAGCAGTATTATATTTTAGAGGATGATAAATTCCAATGAGTAGTTCCACCTAGCTTTGTTAAAAAACAGAATAGTGTTGACTTGATTCAAATACATTTTATTTCATAAAGTTTTCCAGGTAATGTCAGTGAACTGGGCCTTTGTATTAACATTTTTGATTAATGGCTGTTAAAGTGGTTAACCAGGGAGGAATTTATGCTTAGGTGTTGGGTAGAGCTATTTGCAGGCCTGTCTTCTCTTCTGAAGGTTAATGCAGCCTTTTCAACAGTGATAATTGTTTAAAGGTAAAAAGAATAACTTCTATTTTACAAACAAAAAGATAGAATTCTGGATGAACAAACAAACAAACTCCCCTGAAAGCATTAAGACCTGTGTGAAGTTGTGCTTATGTGCCCATGGCAAGCACTGTATTGAGGGGGGGAATGGCAGTTTGCTTGGCCATGGTTGAACATGAGCACATCTTCTCACATTTTCTGCAGGCAAGGGGTTTTGCCTTTAAGGATTCATAAATTCACTCTCTGTTTTGAGCAATTGCTGCTTTTGTGTATCTTAGCAATGCTTTTCACAGTATCAGAGGAAGCATCGTCATTAACCAGACAGCCTCTTGGCTCTCTTTGTTTATTTTCTTTATAAACCAGCTTCATTTGGTGTGGTTTTTGTTTTGTTTTCACAGAAGAGGGACCCTCATTACTTTGGCTGCTGATTATTGCTGTGATCGTAACTGTTGTCGTAGTTGTGTGTTTGCTGTTCTGGAGGAAGAAAATCTGCAGGAGGTGTTGAAGTGGTAAGTCCCTGATGTGTGGAAACCAGTGGTTTTCCCTTAGGGGAAGATTTTTCTGCTGGTTACAGCACCATTTTTAAGACAAACAGGGAGATATGGTGAGGTCTGCTCAAATTTGGCATAAGAGTCTGCATCCTAATGATGAACTAAGGAGAAATTGCAGTCAGTGTAATGTCTTTGCATGTGGAATGACCTGTCATGGATCAATTCAACTGTCTAGTCTTAATTACTAATAACAGAATAAAAAAAATAAATTAGAGGAGTGGGGAGGCTTCAGAAGTCTCAGAAATTTCATGGTCAGTGGTAATTTCACTGGTGTTCAGCTAAATCAAAATGTTGTGTCTGGCTTTAAATTCTACTGATGTATTTAGAAACACCAGCACACATTAGCTCAGTTCCTGAATAGTTAGATACTTGCTTCCTGATGATAATGTGATAGAAAGTAATGTTTCCAGAAATATCAGATCTGTCTGTTGTGAACTTAAACCTAGAGTGTCTACTGTTGAGAGGGGTTGATCTAGTGAATCTGCTACTGCAAAAGTCTTCACAGAGAAGAAAGAAATGGACACTTCTCACACCTCAGAAAAGTTCTAGTTGTAAAATATGAGCTTTCCATTGTTCCTATAAACAAGTAGAATTGTTTGGGTAAGTTAGCTGAACAGTGTTTACTAGGGGGTATGAGTTTCTGTCAAAGTTTATCAACAAAAGCAGGGGTTTAGTGACTTTTTTTGTGAAAAGCAGGACTTGAGTGAATTGCTTGTGTTCCTTCCCATTCATCATGGGTTTTGATTAACAAACTCCAGGATGTGACTTCTACAGTGATCTTGGAAGTCCTTCAGTCTCTGTTCTTCTAATGCAGTCTAGTTTTTATCAGCCTTAGTCTGCATATTTTCAGTTGTTTTTCAATCTTGAGTTCTGAAAATGTGATGACTTGGCTCCTCTTTGCAAAAAGGCAGCATTACTTTATCCAGAGCAACTTTGGCCAGCTGATCCTATCCCTTCATACAGTGACCACCTTAAAGAAATGGGTAGTCCATTTTCCTGATGTACCTTTGTTTCCTGAAGTCCTCGTTAATTAGTTTGCTGTAAAACTCAGACAGTAGTGCAGTTTGATCACTCTATCACAATCTGGTTTTTAGATTTTTTTAAAGTATTTTTTTATCCCCAGGATGCTCTTTTATGCCTGTTCCTAGGGGTTACTTAATATTTATCTTGCATGTAATTATAACTGTCATTTCTCTGGGAATCCTTAGAATACCTGTGAAACTACAGCAATTTTCAACACTGTATTTCCAGTGTGTTACTACTCCACAAACACCATATTGTAATGATGAAATCCCCTAACCCTCCTTAGCTATGGATCTTTGTCTGGTTTTGTGGTGACTTGTTTTTTTTTCCCTCATTATCTGTGAAATATGTTTATGATTTTTAAAGTTGTAGTTGATTCCCCCAAGAGGCAGTAACACCTTGCAGAAAGCCTTTTTCTGGTTTTATCCTCTACTGTGCTCAGACGGTTCAAATGAGGGGCAGTGCCCACGGACACGCTTTTGGAAGGGCTTCTTATAACCTCACAACAGAGAGCAAATAGCACTGGCTGGAAAATCCCCCTGTATGTCTGGGACTTTAATACTGCTCTTCATTCTACAATAGATAACAAGCACTGCCTTTGTAGTCTTGTCAAGTTGCCCAGAAAGTAAAACAGCAGCTTTTTATCTGAGTGGCTGGGGACACTTCTGTGACAAAGTTGCTTCTGCTCTCGAGAGCATGATTAGTTTTTTCTTTGCTTTTCTATTTGTTATTTCCTTCCTTTTTGTGGTAGATACTTGGGAATTAGGTCAAGAGCTGGGGTTGAAATTTGATGTCTCACCCCTCAGGCATTTGCCTTGTGTGCCAGTCACAGAGCACACATGTGTTTTGTAGCTCTCCCTGAAAGCATCCCGAGTGAAGCGTCTTCACAATGGTTGGCAAAAAGTCACTTATTTGGGAACAAACTGAGCGGCCTTTGTGGCAAATGCAGATGGAAAACTCATATCTTCATCTCTGACAAGCAGAGGCAAATTTAGCTGTGCCTCTCACTCCATACAAGTGCAATGAGCTGCAATGAATCAGCAGGCAAAATGTCACCCACCCTCTCTCGGTGCTGCTCTTATAAAAAGTCATGATTTCCTTCCCAGCTCAACTAACAGAGCTTATTTACACCAAAGTAAAGCAGTCACTTAACAAGCCAAGAGCCTGGGTTGAAGCAAAATAAAGCTTTATGAGCCTGAATTCCTGTGCCTTACCTGCCCTTCACATGTCTCAACCTGACTGCTTTCCACAGCATCAGTTGCTTATTTCAAGGCTTGCAGGATACTCTTATTTCAGCCTGGCCAATTAAAAAGCTTTATAGTCACTTCTCAGGATGTCTGTAGGGGGATACAATTCCACATATGCTTTTTTCTGGGGGGCTTGTGGTGACCTGCAACAGCCTGGGAAGGCCCATTTCACCCATGCATAGAAAGGCCAGAATGATGTCCTTGGCTTGTTTTGTTTTTAAAGCATTGGCGTGTTGATGTCTCTTGGGCAGCTTAGGCAGGTTTTGACATGTGGAAAGGCTTATAAATGGTCAAATTGTATGTCTGTGTTTAAAAAAGCTATAGCAACAGGACAGAAAAATATGGGGCTTGTTAATGAATAGATATGATGTGACCTAAGAAAGCTGGAAAAAGAAAACTTGAGGAGTCATAGAAGAAGAGATTAGGTCAGATCAAAAATTCCATTCTGCAGAAAGTGCCAGCATAGAAATGTTGTTAGGGGTTTTTTTCCTTCAGGTTTTCCTTCAAGTGGAAATTTTCTGGAATTCAGATGTGAGCAGCATTGTACCTTTGTCAAAGGTTGGACTTGATGATCTTGGATGTCTTTTCCATTTTCTTTAATGATTCTATGTTTGTGTTTGAATACAAGCAACTGCCTGTATTTCAAAGAAATACTGAACCTCAGTGTGCGTCATAGATTACAAAAGTACTATAAAACAAGTTGAAAATACCTTTTTGTTGCCAGCTGGAGATCACTTGATACCCTGAACAGGAATTTAAGATGCCCTGATGGGGTTTTTTTTTGTTCTGAGTTTTGGAAGTTGCTACAAATAGTATAGAGTCAGGTTTGTTAAGTGACAAATAGCAACTTGGCTGATCAGCTGTAATACTGAGGTACCAGAACCCCAAATTTTGGTGGCCAAATATGCCCTGAAAGGCTGGGAAATAAGTCTTGTGCAGGAAATTCCAGTTATTTAGAAAACTTGACAAAAACAAGAGCTTTCCATTGCTGTGTTGATAGTAAAAATAGCAATTAATTCTGGAAGAGCCACTATAGCTTTATTCTCTTGTGTTTATTCAGTTTGGGGAAGGCTTTGTTTTTAAGCTTTGGCTTAAAATTACGGCAATTCCTATTTTATCTTATGACCTGACTTATTTCTTCAGTGAGTTGCTTTGACATACATCTGGATTTATTATTAGTGAGAGACTTGGTAGTTGAGAACAACATAGCTGCTTGCCTTTAGGAGACTTTTCAGAATAATTTTTCCAGAAAAGACAGGCTAAATACCAGACTTTCAGATGATAAACTCAGGACTTATCTCCCTCTTTCATGAGACAGATGGATCTAAGTCACCCTGCTCAGAGGAATGGGTGTCTGGGAGTCATGTCCCAGCTGAGGAGGCTCACTTTAGACTTTCTTGGTTTCCTCTCAAGTGTGGCTTTATCATGAGTAGGACATTTATATATTTATCCTATTTTTAATTCCCAGAAAAATAGCAAGAAAACATGTAGTGAATATACAACAGCCTCACTGGTTTACCCTTCCTAACACTACACAAAAAAAGAACAGAAAACAAACAAAAACCCAGACAAACCCCAACCCAACTCCCTCAAAAACCACAGTGTAAAAATATTGTAGCCAAACAGACCAAAACAGAACTAATGAGGGGGGGAACTAAAAAAAAAAAGCCACCCCTCATTACAGAAATGCTAGCAAAGAGGTAATTCTGCTGTCAGCTGCCCACCAGGTTTCCCACAGACATAAATATTTTGCAACCCAAGTGAAGATGTTTTTGGGTTTCATCATCTGCTGCTTCCAGACAGCACCTGTCCCCTAGTAAGTCACTTAATTTTCTGTTCAGGATGATAAATAAAATAAATCCTGTTTGTTGCAGACAGGATGAAGGTGTTGGTGTAGGAAACATCCCAGAGGTTATCATGCCTGTCCAAGGGAGAAGTGTTGAAGTCTATGCTGCTAAAATGCTGTTTCTTTGCAAACAAGGAGGCTCTTACTATGGGTGACCAACACAATTTTCATCCTGTCCATCATATTTGTGCTCTGTATATAACCAGAAAATAAAATGCAGCTGAAAGGGAAGAAAAATAGCACTGCTGTGATAAATGAAGTTACCTCGCTGTTTCAATTCCTCATTCACTTCCTTGGCAAGAATTATTTGTATACTCAGTTCCAAAACACTCTGCAAAATACTTTGGCTGTATGAAGGGTTATTAGACAAGGAGATGGAAACCTCTTTCATAGTCTTCTACATGAAAAGCAAAGGTGCCATATATTTTGTCCCTGTCTTCAAAGCCATGTGATGGTAGTGTTATAAACTGCATCTCAAACATCAGAATGACATTCTGAAATACCAAACTATTTATATGCTCCATATAAAACCTTACTGATTTATCCTGGTGTTTTACCCACCAGGAAAGTGAGTTTGCTTTTCACAGTTTACAAATCTGTGTATTTGTTCTGTGTATTTGTTATTTCCCTGTCTTATCCTGAATTCTGCAGCATGTGTGACTTCCAGAATTAAAAAAAGCAGGGAAGGTCCTACAGTTGTTCACCAAAGGGCAGTTTTGTGACTGTTGTTCCCCACTTTCCCACTGTGCATTTCTCTCCCCCCTTGCCCTGGAGGCAGCAACACGGTGGCCACAATTCATCCTTATCCCTGTTTTTTTTTTTCTTTGTTTTCTAGGATCCTTGAGGCTTTCCATTCACCTTCCAGATCATCAGAGCCCAGCAACCTGAAGTCAGCATTAGAAATAGTGACTTGACTGGCTGGAAAGAAGGAGCAAAAAAAGGAAAAGATACATACACTGCCCTATCTAGACACTGAGTTATCACTGAAATGTTTTTTATTCAGTCTGGACCCTTAATCTTAAAGAGTAGGATCAGAGGGACCACTTAGTCCTCTCCTGCTGTGCCAAAATCTTCTTTGCTCGTGCCACTCATGGTACTGCTGCTGTGGAAAATGTATTTGCCTTCTTCCAGTTGAGATTTGAAAACACCCATGGATGGAAGCTCTGCAGACTCTCTGGGGACCCTCTTGCAGTGCCTGATTGCTCTTGTAGTAGAGAGGGGTTTAATTTTTGCCAACCTCTGTCTGCAATTTCACTTGCAGCAACTCTGAGTTCATCGCCCTCTTCCTGTGATCTGGTTTTCCTTCTCTTCCCCAGCTGTTCCAGCTCCTCTTCCTCAGTGAATGTGTCATTGTGCCAAGGACAGTATTGCTTAACTTTCTCCAAAAACACCTTCTGGACTCAAACCCACAGGACTCAAGGCCACAGGAACTCAAACCACACTGAATTTGTCAGAATTACTGGGGAAGAGCAATAGGACTCCAAGGAGGTGACTGGTTAAAGAAAGTAGCAGCCACAGTTGGGAAAGAAGAATTATATGTCATTTACATATATTTATAAGTATATAAGTATTGTACTTTATTTGACCTTTCTAATCCTGGGGTGGGGTTTCTTCTTGGTTTGGGGGGTTTTTGTTTCTTTTGGTTCAGTTTGTTTTTGGGGTTTTTGGTGTTTTTTTTAAAATAAGTGAGGAGGAGTTGGAAACAAAGCCCAGCAGTGTAAGCATTGTCATCTCCACCCCTCCTTCCTTTTTTGCTGCCATTCTCTCTCTGGTTATTTTCTGTGCAGAAGGCAATATGGGGCAACTCTCCTGATTCTCCCAGCCCTCCCAGGGGGCTGTGAAAGCAGCTCTGTAGGGCTTAGTTGCTGCCTGGGGTTAAGCCCTGACATCCCCTGAGCACCTTCACAGGGTGAGGGTTGCCAAAGCCAAGCCTACCTCAGGGTGTACATTCAGTGGCCCATTTTACTGACAGGATAGATGGAAGGACTTTAGGGGGTCCTCTGGTGATTTTTATTCAGCCGAGGAGTTAAATGCTTAAGGTTTTCCTTCTGTCTGAATGTCACTGGATTGGGATCACTGCCGGTACCATCTTTTGGGTTTGATCAGCATTTGTTTGTGCACCTGAAATACTCCATCTCTCCGAGTGTGTTGGACTTCCTAAGTGCCTTTTGTCTTGTGCTTTTTATGTCATATGTTTACCAAGAGTACAGACTGTCAATCTGAAACACCTACAGAGAGGATTTAGGAGATGCAAGACTTAGGACTCAGTGTTAGAACCAGTGTTCTGTTGTTTCCAGGGCAGTGATAAAACTTTGTGTGTGCGTGTGTGTGTCTCAGTGTATTAGTGAAGATGTGAGGGATGACATTTGCACTGCTATTGTAAGTGCAACGTGGATTATTTATTTATATATTTTACTTTTTCTAATAAAAAAATAAATGTTTTCCAGCCAATACATCAACTGGTTTGTTTTTTTTTAACCTACTTTTTTGGGGTTCCAGAAATGTTTCATTGCAATTTGGGCCTTTTTTGTAGAATTGGTTTGTATTTTGCTTCCTTTCTGTACAAAAAGTGGGACTTTGGGGCTTTTTTTAAGGGTGTTTTGGGGTATTTTTTTTGTCTTTAAAAAAAAAATTGAACAAAACTTGTGAGGAAAATTTACAGAAGCAGCTGAGGTTTATTTCAGATTTGGAAATAACTTCAGTAAATCAAAACCCAGTGCATTTCATATTTTTACAAGTATTGTTGGCGTCATGTTCTTTGCTTCATTACTCTTTATCTGAAGTTTCATGCTCTGCTGATACATTGTCTTGTTTTCTATATTTCCCTTGCTGAAAAGAAGCCAAATAAAGCAACTTTGAAGATCAGCCCTCATGATTTCTTTTGTTTGTAGCACATTATGGGCTTTTATAAGTCCATGAGAGAAGCATCACACATGAGCTCTGAGTGCATGAATAATTCCTTTGGGAAAGGCCATAGTGACCCAGTGTATCCTTTAGGACATATGGACTTTTGAGATGAACTGGGAAACTGCAATTTGTGTTTCTCATGTCATCAACTTGCACTTTTCTTCTTAAGAGATGTGAGAGTGAGGAACTTGGCTGTAGTTAAAAGGATGTGTTATCTTCCTGGAGGAGCTGAGTGTCTTGGGATTGTGTCCCAGATCTTGCACTACCCATGAAAGGCAACATTTTATTGCTTGTCTGAGCTCTACACTTGATAGAATAGAATATACAGTAATTTGCAGAGGTTTTTGAGATGGCAACATAAACTCCCTCTGTTGACTTCTTCTTTTTTTTTTTTTTTTCCAGGGAAACAGATGATTGCTACTGGTGACTTCTGGAGAACTTCCTACTGGATGCTGGCCATCCCTCACTGTGAGTGACAGGGACTTGTAGTGTCTTCTGGGAATTCGTCACAATAGAACAAGGGGGAACAGTTTTAAACTACAAGAGGATCAATTTAGACTATATATATATAAGGAAAAAGTATTTTCAATGAGAGTGGTAGAAGGTTGCCCAAAGAGGTGGTGGATGCCCATCCCTGGAAACATTTGATGTCAGGCTGGATAGGGTCTGAGCAACCTGGTCTAGTTATGGCCCTGCTGATTGCAGGGGGGGTTAAATGGCCTTTACAGCTCCTTTCCAACCCAAACTATTCTGTGAGTCCAAGAATTTGGCACTCTGAGATCAGCCAGGTCACTTTTCCATGCGCAAATCCCAGGCAGGAGAGCAACTTTTACCTTACACAAAGAACAGAGGGACTGCTGGCCTGGCCCAGGAGCTCCTGGCAGAACTGGGGTCAAGTGCAAAGAAGATTGACTGACCAACCTTCACATCTGCAGAACAACATATTTCCTCAGGGAAACCTCAAGGCTGCTTTTTTTGGCTGACAGCTTGGTGTTCAGAACCTGTCAAAAGGTTTGCTTTAGTTTTCAAGTCATTGTTTAGTTCCCACAGCTGTCTCCTCTCTTTGTGTGCCTTCGTCCCTGGCACGCTCAAGGATGTCCATCACTCTTAGTCTTGCATTGTGCTGACATGTGGGACAGGAAGGTGAAATGTCTGTGAGAGATAACAACTCCCATGCAAAGAGAAGGTCTTCAAACCCCCACTGGGTTTGAAGGAAAGATAGAGTTTGCAAAAAACAAACAAAAATCACTTCTGCTGGCACTTTTTGCCCTCGATGTTTTCTCATTCCCTGCCAAGCTGAGGTCGGGGCAGCTGCTCCAGCTGCCTCTGCAGTGGTGAATTCGTGCTTGTGTTTTTCCCTTTATGCTCCCCTTGCCCTTCCCCAGCCCGTGAATTTTGCCTGTGCACAACACATTTCCAGGTTATTTGCCTTTTACCTTGAGGGACTGCCTTCTGGTTTGGAAACAGCGATGAGCTTTCACAGGAGCTGCTTTCACTGTGTGGTCACTGGGACCCAGGGAGATGAAAACACCTTCCCTGCTGCTGCTCTGCTGACTGAAATGCTGTTTGCTTTGAGAGTATAATGGCAGCTGTTCTCAAAGTCTGCCACGTAACAAGATGTCAAGGAAGGAAGTGCAGGATAATTTTAGGAGCTAAGAGGATGCAATGTGGGATTTTGTCTGGATTTTTTTTTTTTTTCTTAAGGTGGGTTGACTTTTGTGGCAGAATCAGCACTGAACAAGAATTTCCATGTTGATGACTAGTATTTATCAGCCAGGAAGGCTTAAAAGTCTTTCAGCTTCAAGTTGAAAGCACTTAAATGTGGTTTTCTGAGACCATGTCCAGTGGGCATCCTGGGAGATGGGAGTAACTTGAGCTCAGTGCTTTGAGTGCCTGCAAGAGGGAAGTGTGGCCACCTGCACTGACAGAACTGGGCAGTAAAGAAGAGGATTGCAGCCCCAGCCTTACTAATATGGGTTTCCTTAAGGAAACAGAGGAGGTGGATTTTCTTACTAATTCCAGTCTAGTAAATCACTTCTGGAAAACAATGGAGCTGAGTGTGATGGCTGACAAAGAAAGTTGAGTGTTTCCCATTCCTCATTTAAAACAGACTTTAAGCAGATTGGTTTTTGGCTGCTGAAGCATGAATCAGACAGATTCTGGTAAAGGTTTGTTAATATATTTTGGTAAAGAAACACACTGTGAGAGAATGATTTATATTTCATTTCACCCACTCTTAAAGTGTTCCTGACTTCAACTTCTTTTGTCCCGATTATGTCAGCCTGTTCAGGCTTCCCTAATTTATTGTTCCCCTCAGTCCTGGACAAGTTCTGTCCTGGTCACTCTTGTTCTTTGTAAAGGACTTTACCTGAAGAGTGTTATTTTTTGATTATTTGGACACACTCTCCATCTGACTTCTCCCTTTCCCTTTCTGGTACTTGGGAATTCACAGTGGTCACTCCATCATGGGAAGGTGTTTTCATCTCTCTGGGTCCCAGTGACCACACAGTGAAAGCAGCTGCTGTGAAAGCTCATCCTTATTTCCAAACCAGAAGGCAAATAACCTGGACACCAGTAGACAGACCCAGGACAAATGGGGGTGAGTGTCTGTCTGCAGGAGCTCCACAGAGCCCAGATCCTGGGCACACATTTGGAGCTCATGTGGAGCCCACTGATGTGTGTTTGCCTCCCTTGCTGGGCTGCATGATTGGGGTGAATTTGTCCTGTTTGATCTGGAGTGACTGTAGGATCTCAGATGAACTATTCAGTTTATTTCATTTTTTTTTTATGCTGAGCTGTGTAGTGTTTACTGGGATCAATAGTTCAATTTTAGGATTTCTAGGGAGTTTGTTCCAGTGTTATCACTGATAGGGTAGGAGTGCTGTTGACCTGGGTCCTCCCTCTCTCCCAATGTCATCATCATTCCAACCTCAGTGAAGTCTTTCCTAATTTTCAGCAGACAGTCCTACCTTCTGAACCGAGAGGATGAATCTTATTGTAACTACTAATTATGAACTGAGATCTTTTTCCCATTTTTTTTACTGGAAAGAGCAATTGTTACTGTGCCCACACTGCCCAGCCATACTTTAGTTTGGCTGCCTGGCAGGACTCCAGTTCTTGAGACACTGAAAAATTGGAATTGGGAAAAATTTGGTTTCTTGAGCAGGTTGGCTGCCTCCTGGGTAAAAGCTGAGTTTTCCTTGGAAGAGTAAAAATCCCAGTATCAAGGAGGTGTTTGGTGCTCTCCCAAGGATGAGAAACATCGAGGAGGGGTCCCTCTGGTGTGGTCCTGTCCCCCTGAGCAGAGGTGGGAAACCCCATTCCTGACCTACAGCACCAGGCTGTAGGAATTCCTCAGCCTGGCCTTTTCCAACCACTCAAGCTGAGGTTTTTACCATCCCATTCCAGTTCTGTATCCTACTAAATGCCTTTTGGGATGGCTCAGGGTCATGTGAGGTTTGGACTTTGAGTCTTCAGACTCTATTTGTGCTCTGCAGACCAGATTTGGGAATGCAACATTATTCTCGTGTTAAATTTGGGAAAGATAAAACTCTCTGCTGTGGGATAAATGTTGCGTAAGGAGCTTAATATGCTTTTGTTTTTTGGCATGAAAGCAGCACTCCCATCTGTGGGAAAAGTCTCCTCATTCCCACAGAAGTAGGAGCTGTGTCTCACAGATTTTCCCTCTCCCTTCTGACACAGCTTTACATGTTAATCTGGCCAACATAAATAATAATATAACA